AAACGAAGCGACAAAACGTCGACCCCAGAATTTCGATCGCTCGCCGCCGAACTACCGGGTAAGTGTAGCCAAGGCCTAAGTGGTAATACTTAAAATGCATTTATGTTGCTGTTTGTTTTTTCTTATTCTGATGTTCAGATGTTATGCGATATGCTGATATAGGTTGGTTACTACTAATCTTATGGGAATGATACATATTCTGCATATAGGTATAAAACACCTTGGGAGGCTTAAAATGAAAGATGCTAATAAGCAGAGCACATAGCAGCACATGTACTTAAGGTTGTCTGACTTGTAATACATTGTCTTCGATTGTGTTAGTAATAGTATATTTACACTAGGACTGAGGTACAGTAGTTAGAAATGTAATTATAAACCCTTATTTATGTCAGCACATAATGCCTTTCACTATTATACTTAATCTGTAATGAGACCAGTGTTCTGCAGTGTGTTTTCTTAATTTAAATCATACAAAGATTTATAAAGCGTTTGTTTCATTTTACACTCTGTGGTAAGTTCTACTGACTTCAGTAGCATTTCTCCCAGTACATAAAGTTAACCATATGCTTAAGAATACTACTGAAGTCAGTGGAACTCATCACAATGTGTGAAGTTAAATGTGTAAATCTTTACAGGATTAGGCCTTAATTAAGTTGGGCAGAAAATGGCCTGTCATTAATTGTATTTCTAGTATAGTCAGTTAATGGAATTGAACTGACATCAAGTAAAGTCTAATAACTTTTTAAGAAACTAATTTATAAATGAAGGACTCTAATTTCTGTTCTGCAAACTAGGGATCAGTGTTATTTCTTGGAGGTAATGAAGTAAAAAGCAGTGCTGTGGTGAAATATTCATCTGCCCCACCACAAGCAGCATTTGCCCGTCTTCGAGAGAAAACTGATTTGAAACTTCCACCTGCCAATTGGTTACGTGAAAGCGCCAAACTGGGGCCAGCAGGAACAACCATTCTTGGAAACAGCAAGAAGAGCAAACTATTTTCAAGGTAACACTGACATCACTACAAATTGTCCTATTCTCTATTAGCCCTTCTGTTTCTCCTTCTTTCTCTGTCTTTGCACTCTCCTTTGCCTTCCCTCACCCTATATGCTTTAATCCCTCTTGCTTAGGCGATGATTAAGAATTCCAGTTATGATGGTAGATTTTGCGATGTGTATGCTGGCAACTGGACTGAGACAATCAAACTCACTTCATGTAGACTACAGACCTGCAATTGGATGGTATCAGTTGGTCAGGCTAGATTGACTGAATAGTAATAGGAATTCTGCTCTTTGATCACATAAGGAAAAAGAATAATATTCTGAAACAAATTTGTAGCCTCCTGACTGTTGATCAGCAATTGGCTGCCAGCTTGGAAATTCAGGAATAGGAATGGACACATTTATGGAAATTTTCTTGCCATGCGTACAATAAATGTATGTTTTAAAAATAAAAATAGGTGGCAAATACCTAAGAAAAATAATTAGGAAAACATGGTGGTTTGATATTTTGGAAATTGGACAAGGACAGTTCAGCAGTGAAAAAATGTGTCTCTTGTATCACAGCCAGTGTCAAGTCTGGGATGATCTGCTGAACGCGTGCAAGTCACTCAAAACAGATTGGCATGTAGGATGAAAATCATACAGGGCTCACACCTCTTAAATTGCCAAATTAGGGCTTAAGTGGCACATAACTCTTGTGGGCCCTGTGCACAGCAGGGAATTTTACCTCTAATCTTTTAAAAAAAAAAAAAAAAAAAAAAAAACAATTAAACAGTAGGCAGAATTAATACATGTGTTTTGGTTAGGTAGGCTAGTGAATTCCGATTTTTACTTTCTCTGCCTCCTTTTTTATTTTGGAATTATTCACAGATGGAAATGCACAAACTTCCAAGGGAAACACCAAATTCTAGTAGTTAAAGTTCAAGGTTATGTGAATATCTCTGGTCACATTGAGATGAATGCACCATCGGGCTTAATTTGAAAAAGTGGTCTACATAGGAAGCTCTCTTCTTTGAATTACATGCAACTTGAAGAGATACAGGTTTTAAATAAGGCAGACAAATAATAAGGATGTTGTGTTTATTAAAATTAGGCTGTTCTGTTGCTGAGTCATTTTCCATAAAACTTATTTAAGTTTTAAAAATAATAAAATAGTCAACATTATCTTAAATGGAAATGAAGGGAAGGAAGAAGTCCAGCTCTTAAACAGGGCTTAGCTCCTCTAGTTTTAATCACTTAAAAGAACACAAACTTTTGGAAAATTAATGTTTATTCCCTTCTGGCAAATAACCACTTTTCGTGATATGCTAACACATTTATTGCAACTCGCCTCCTTTCCATTACAAAACAAATAAAGCATCTTGTATAGTTGCCCTTGTCTCTCTAAAACATTGTGTTTTGTAATGACTGAAAACTGGATTTCAAGAACAATTTAAAGATGGCTTCAAAGAAACAACTTGTAACTTCAAAATGATTTTGTGGCGTTTAAAGCTCAGATCCTGTTGTACTTTGTAATGGCTCTGTAGATTTCTTTTTTTTTTTTTAAATATGAAAATGGGTTTTTTTTAAAGAAGTACTAGATACTTTGAGGAACAAGCAGTTATGTTTTAAACGTCAAAATGCAATGGTTTAAACTTCTAATTGTTTTTAAATAGCTTTGGCATGGCATATGACTTCATCGACTCAGTTGGAAATGATGTGGATGTTGTGTCCGATTCTGAGGTATGTGCAGTTTATTGTTCAATAATTCTTCAGTTTTGTAATTGTATCTTGATTATGGCTTATGCTACAGTGACTGTTTTATTTAGTAGTCTTTTATTTAGTTAAATTATTTAAGAAAACCTCATTTTACTTTGGCTATTTGCTTATAGTTTAAAGGAAGTTGTGACAATTGAATAAACTACAGATAGCTTCAGATTTTTATTTGCAGTGTAGACATACCCAAAGATACAGATGGACAGAAGAGCATTGAGGAAAGGTGAGAAGCAAAGAGGAGGGGAAAAGAAAATTGGGGGGCCCCCCAAACAATTTTACATTTGGGGAAAAAGTTGAAATGGTGAGCTGCTAAAATCAAGCATTCATGGTATTGTCCTCATAAAGTCAGTGGGAGTTTTGCTATTGACCTGAATGAGAGCATGACGAGGACCACTTCAGTCGCCTATTTGAATGCATTACAAATTTTACTATATCTAACACAAGTTAGCAATAGGGGAAGAGCATTCTAGTAGCTTATACCCACACCTAGTCAAATATGAGTATCTAGGTTATAGTTGCGAGGAAGACCCATTGCTAAGCTGTTCCCTGACTTGCTGTCTGAAAACTCCTACAAGAGATCTGTTCCCTAATACACTTATTTGGAACTCAGTAGGTCAGTAATGGTATTGGGACAACCGCTTATCCACTGTGCCAAGGGCCCTCCAACAAAATATTTGCATCTAAGTGAGGCATTTTTGTATATCCAAAACACTTATCAGTGGAATAATATTGTTATGGGACCAACCTTTCCTGCTTTAAAAATAGAGCCTCCAGTTTTACCTTGATGATTAAATATTATCATAAATACTCAGACATTTATCGTTTGCTTATATGACAGCTATATTATATGTTGTACTCTCAAAAGTATTAGCACAAGATGACCATTATCTCCAAATAAAGATATTTGTAGGGCTTGTAGAAATACAATATTTTGGGATAACTTCTTGGGTGGGAGTTGGGTTTTGTTTTTGCTTTGAAAATATCTTGTATTAAATTCAAGCATTTAAAACATTTTTTTTACATAATTAATATTATATAACCATGTATTTTCTGTGATGGTATTATGCAATAACATTTAAACATGAATCCACATTTTCTCTTTTAATGTTTTCATTATGAGAATTTGGTTTTCTATAGCATATTCAACATCTAACTTATGTTTTCAACTTCTCTTTCCTCTGCTTTCATTTTCGTGATCCTTAGTAACAATAACTCAGTCAACTTGCTGTTATAGTATTCATGCAAACTTTTTTCACTTAAAAATCCCTCTCTCATTTTAAAAGCTTTGGAGGTTTTCTTTTCAGTTAACATCAACTAAAAGGGACTTCTGTGAGCTCTGAGTTAGTATATGCTAGTTGAAATAGCACTATAATATTCGTAGTGTAAAAAAAAATTAAAATTGAATTCTAATCTATTTGCAATACTTTGCTAATGAATGAAACTTAGACAAATTGGGAAACCAACAAGTCCTTTGCAAGTGCTGTTTAGGAAGAATTTTTTTTTAAGATTCCTACTAGGAAATCTGGAGAGTGAATTTGGGAGAGAATCCCACGTCTGCAGTCTCAGCCACCTTTTTGCTATCTTGTCTTCCAGCCAAGATCCTCTCCAATCTGGTTTCCCCCTCTTGCACTCAACATAACATAAGAATGGCCATACTGGGTCAGACCAATGGTCCATCTAGCCCAGTATCCTGTCTTCCAGCAGTGGCCAATGCCAGATGTTTCAAAGGGAATGAATAGAATAGAGCAATGTCAAGTGATTCATCCCCTGTCATCCACTCCCAGTTTCTGGCAGTCAGAGGTTTAGGGACACCCAGAGCATGGGGTTGCTTCCCTGATGATGTTGGCTAATAGGTTCATCAGTGACTATCTTTCATGAACTTATCTAATTCATTTTTAATTCAGTTATAGTTTTGGCCTTCACAGCAACCGCTGGCAATGAGTTCCACAGGTTACCTGTGCACTGTGTGAAGAATTACTTCATTTTGTTTGTCTGAAATCTGTTGCCTATTCATTTCATTGGGTGACCACTCACTGAAACTGTCCTTGCCAAAGTCATTAATTGTTGTGCGCGTTGTAATTGTAGCCGTGTTAGTCTCAGGATATTAGAGAGACGGGGAGGAGTGAGGTAATACCTTTTTATTGGACCACCTTGTGTCTCTAAAGTCACTGATGACCTTTTTCTTAGCCAAAGCTCAGAAGCAGTACTACATCCTCAGCCGCCTTGACCTGTCAGCCACTTTCAGCATTGTCAACCATGCTCCTCTTCTTGAAATCTTGTCTTTTGTGATTCTGTCCTCATGGTTCTGTTCCTACTTCTCTCGTTACTCCTTCAGCATATTCTCTGGAGGATCCTCCTCTCCTTCCAACAACTTTCTGTGGGGGTTCCACAGGGATCCATTCTTGGTCTCCTTCTCTTTCTACACCTTATCTCTGGGTAATCTCACCTGCAAACAAATTCAAATGTCATCTCTGTGCTGACAATTCTAAGATCTACCTCTGTACTCCAGACCTGTCTCCTTCTGTCCAATCTAAAATCTTGGTGTCTCTCTCTGACATCTCCTCATGGATGTCTAGCTGTGGGCTCAAGTTCAAAGTAGCTAAAACAGAGTTCTTAATCTCCCCCTTCCAACTCTCATTTTTCAATCACTGTGGACATCAGCTCCATTCTGCCTGTCATTTAGGCTCTTGAACTGGGTGTCTGCTTCTACTTGGGCCTTCCTCTAGGTCCTCACATCCAGGCTATATCTAAATCTTAGAGATGTCATACTGAAAAAATCTGCAATGTACAAACTCTCCTATCCACAATCTACAATTAAATTCTGGTCTAGGTTCTCATCATTTCAATTAATTCATCATCCTTCTCTCTGGTCTTGCTCTCATCCATTCAGAATGCTGCTGCAAAGATAATTTTCCTATCCACCATGCTTTGACCATGTCATCCCTTCACTGGCTCCTGCTTCTCTATCAAATCAGACACAAGTTGCTTGTCTTCGCTTTCAAGGTCCTTCATGGCCTATCCCCTCTGTTTATCTCTCATTCACTCCTGAGATGTTGACTCCAGCCTCTGATTGCCCCATGATGCCATCATCTCCCATTTGCTAAAGTTTCAAACAAGCATCTTTCTCCCAACCATGGAGGAGGTGCATGGGAGATAGTTTTGCAGATGTTTACAAGTAGCTAATACATAACTTTTCTGTTTTGTCTTTTTTGCAAGAACATTAAAAAACTTCTGAAGATACCATACAGCAAGTCACATGTGAGCATGGCAGTACACCGTATTGGACGAACCCTTTTACTGGATGAGCTAGATATTCAGGAGCTCTTCATGAGATCATCTCAGGTTAACCATTTATTTTGTTAATGTCCTTGGCCACCTGGCAAATATGTTATATATTATATTATATTATATTATATTATATTATATTATATTATATTATATTATATTATATTATATTATATT